TTTACTAACTTAATAATTAGAAGTTGGGATTTGGGAACTTATCTTATGGATAAACTTTTGTACGAAGCCCATAGAAATGTAAACAAACTTTGTACTTATTAGTAAAATCTCTATAAAATATCTCATAATTTGATGTGCATATGTCTAATGATCAAATGCCTGTTTTTACTTTTTCCAATGGATCTCCAAAATCGCTGAACCTGCCTTTTTACTCTTATCTATTGTTCATTTCATGTGGTGCTTGTTCCTATAAAGGTAAATTGGTTTTTATATTAAAACAATCGGCACTTTTTGCTCACAATCAGTATCTTCAAAACGGCTGAACCTACCTTGCCAAAAACTAATCAACACGTCTCTCCGTCTATATAAATTCATGCTTTTTGAATTATTCAAATCGGTTCATCTGTGTTCACGAAATAGTCGACAAAAATTTGTATCCGAACACACACTCACACAATGTACAGAAACCTTTGAAACGTAAAGATATATAAAAATTTTCATTTTCGATTATTTACGATTACTATAACTTGGGATGTTAAAAATGTACGAATCAATATTTTTCATATTGTTCCTGCGTATTTTATTTTAGTTGAAAAGTATGTTTTCGAAGGAGAAGTTTGTTTTTGCCTTTTAAAAGTTATTTGATAAAACTCGATTATTAGGTGTCTTGATTAGGTTTACGAGACGATCGGTAAAGCAGTTTTTTCTTAGAATTTGCAGCGAAGTCAAAAATTTTTACACACGTTTTCGCAAAAAACATGAACCGATTTTGAAATTCGTTTAGTAATAGTGCTGATTAGTTTTTGGCAATAAAGTTTGGCCGGGCCGTTTCTTTGTAATTTAATGTTAAAGGTCTTTTTTATGTTTTTTATGAAATTAACATGGCAATAGAGTTCCTGCAATTAACGATCATTCTAAAATAGTAGAGTTATATTTTCTAAACACACGTGGAAATTTTATCTGAATAGCTAAATCGCAAAGTCTGTTATTACATCCATATCCAAAAAATTCAATGCAACTTGCGGCAAAAAGTAAGCCACTACAACTAGTTTTGTATTTTGCTTAAAATTCAATTCAAGTAAAACAACTAAAGACCATAAAACCAAGTTCAACTTATTAGTAAAGCATTTCAACACATTCTAATCAAAAATAAATTGATTGATTCATTTCAAAATGCATAATTCCGTAAACGTAGGATTTGATATTTTTATGAGGGCTTTCCTTACTGCATATTTTTTTGGTTAGTTTTGACAATTATTGATTTATTAATTTTGATTTTACATAACTATTCTTTTATTGTTTCTGCAAATATTGGCTTAGTAAAGCTGATTATGAAAGTTAGATTTTAAAATGTTTAGTTCTAGAAAATATTCAAGACGAATGGAAAAACGACGAAAAAAAGGATAATAAGGAAAAGCTACCTTAAATTAGTCAGTGCTTCAAAGTGATGATCTTATTAATGAAAATCCTAGTGAACAGTGCTTCGAAAGTGACGAATTGGTAAATATTTACAAAAGTTGCCAAATACAGCACTCAGCAGACAACACGAGTGGCTATCCAGATCCATAACAATGAAAGCAAATATTTCGCATGGAGATTTACCATTAGTTTTATTTTAGTCGAGCGTTACGACGCATGAAAAGGCATGGGTAAAGTAAAAAAGCACGTACAGGGAAATTCGACCAACATAAAAGCTAACATGAGTTTTCTCTTTATTTGGCATCTCAGGTAAAAGAATCTAAAGAGTGTTGGCGGTTCTCATAGTACATATTATGCGTACTCGATGACCTACAGCGCCTGGACTAATAAATAATATTCTTACACTATGCTATTTTTAGGGTGTTTTGAAAAAGTAACTGATTAAGTGAAAACATTTCTGACTGAAAACAAACATTGTAAAACTAAGAGCCTTTTCTTAAAAGATAAGTGACAATAGATCTTCTCTTAGAACAATACTACGTATATGTCTCAGAGTATGGCATGAAACTTGAACGTCCTTCAATACTAGGCCTATCGCAAATCAAGTTGGTTTTTTGCAATTTTAGCTGCTATGAATGACTAAAAATATGCCATACAACAACATCCGAAAATTTAATTGGTCTACTTCAAAATATATTAACCTCATGGAAAACTCGATAACGCGCGAGAGTCTATAATAAAAAAAGAATTTCTTTTTGGCCTGGTGCTTCCGAAGATCCTTGATGTTATTTCAACACATTCAACGTCATTTTTAGCTTTCGTGGCCTCAGAGAAAACGCTGATAACAAAAATCTGAACACCAAAGAAAACTTTCGAGTATTATTGAGGTCATAGAGTTGGAAAATGCTCGACGTGATTAAATACTTGTCCATTACCATTGTCCAGTATCATTCTGCTTTATCGGACTATTGAATTTTAAATAACGCTAAAGAAAACAATTATGATAATTTGGATGAAAAAAACGAAGCTGTTAAAATTTTGTAGAAATACGGCCATTGCATCTAATTTAAGGTAGGACGCGGCTCAAAGATTTAATTTGACTATTAATAGTACTGAGAAAATAACCAACTATATCATAAAACATAACGCCTATCGAATTATATTCATGCCGTAAAATATACCAATATTATGGCAATACTGTGTTGCGTTGTGCATAAGTGCAAAAACGCGGATCTTTAAAACTTCTTCAAACGAATTCGCATAATTTAATTTAGTCTTTTTATCAACATCATTGCGAGCTGAAAAACTATATTATATACAGTGTTTATTCATATTAGTGTATAAATTTTCTAAATTAAAATGACAATATAATAATGTATCAAAATATAATTATTTTTATTAATTTTGCATTGACAGTTACGTCCACATTAAATTTATAATACAATGATCTAACATAATAATAATATTACGTCCTTATAATTAAATTAAATATCTACTATAGACACCATTAAACATACATATAAACTATGTACGTACATTTTTATGTAATTGCTTTACTTTAAATTACACAAGGGACTCGATTAACCGATCTAGGTAAATTGATCAAAATTAGTAAGATTCATGTTTTTTACTGAAAAGAAGATAAACATCTATAAAATCTATGATAATAAAAAAAAAACATAAACATTTGTCAAAAATAAATATTTAAAATTTGTACATTAAATTATCTAAATTTCAAGTTTACCAGTACATTTCCTGCTAATTTTTCAATGAGTATTAAGTAACATTGATAGCATTGTTATTCAATATAATAAAAATGAAGGGTTCTGTGTGTCCATTGACTAATTACCCGTGTGATACTAATATAAAACCTTCAATGAAAGAACATTCTACCCTCCGATAACAAGGTACTCTGGGCTCGCGATTTCCATACAATGCGGACTCCTTTGTATGGAAATCAACGGAGCTGAACTTGCAGCAGCCCTCCGATAACACGCCCAAACTTTCTTCCGCGCAATCTATGTATAACTCTAGTAACTAAATATTTTTGTATAGCTTTTTATACACTATTTTATCGTTTACAATATGTTTATATATAGCTGTATACATTATCGGTTTAGTAGTGTCTGAGTTCTTTCACAAACGTTAGTCTTTCTAAAACAACATTATCATGTAATTTATTTTTTTAGGAATTAGGAATTTTGGTAGTTTAACTTTCAGTTCATTTTTTCATCAGTATATAAAGTCCAGAATTTTTTTATAGCACGGCTTCCATATTACACGTTAGCTTCATATTATCCCTTCGTTCTATCGGGGGATTGACTGTATATAAAATTTAAAAAAATATGTAGGAAATTCGAAATAAACAATAATAATAATCTTATAAACTAATACTAGTAATAATAATAATAATAGACTATTAAAGAATTTAATATTTCGTTTTATAAAATTGATGATTTATTAATCTTTGAGATTTTTTTCTTATAGACAGGTTCGGAAAACTTTTCGGAAAAATTCAATAATTAGTATTTATTACTTTAATATATTAAAATTTATTTGTATACAAATCACTTTAAGACACACTGGTACACTTTAATAATGTCCACTGGGCTTATATATATAACAGGTCCACAAAAAAAATTATGTGGCGCATGTTTTCCAATGTATTTTTTATTCCTGAATACTGATCTGAAGTCAATATTGGGGGTCAAATTGCAAAAAAAGCGCAGAAAAATAAAAAACAACTCCGATCTACTAGTTTTTTCTGCATAATAATTAAAATCTAAGCCAGCAAAAGACAAAAATTATAAGATTTTTAAGTTTTTTATTTTCGCCAATTAATTATTCTGCAGAAAAATTTCTATATCTGAGATTTTGTCGTTTTTCATATTATCAACTACTCATAGGGTGTAGTAATCGCAAAAATAAAAAATAAACTTCATTGCATATCTTTACGTTTCAAAAGATTTTGAACATTTTGGCACACAAAAAACCCGTTTTGAATAATTTGAACATGCTGATTAGTTTCTTGAAAAGGCAGTCTAGCTGTTTTGAAGATATGGGGGCAAAAAGTGACAAAATTGGCAATTTAGTAGATTTGATAATTCAACTAGTGGTGCGTGACATCGTGCTTTAAGCAAATTGCAGGAACTTCCCGTACCGAAAATTATAATTTTTAAAAAGCTTCAAATTCTTTGAAAACTTTTGAAATAATTAGATTTTTGAGATTTTGAAATCTCTAAAAAAAGACTTTTTAAAAAAAATTATATAGTTGTAATTTTTTTTTAATTTTCAACTTTTTTTAAAGCAATCGCTTTGTGTAGCTGTTTTAGAGACGATATATCGAAGCGCGTAAGCGCCACGTCGCAGTCTAAAGGGTAAACGTTGGTACGGAACACATATGAATGTAAAAAAAGTACTTATGATTAAAATCTAGAGTCTGTTAATTTGATGTTCATATGTCTAATGATCATTTTTGTCCGCCAAACTGCATTTTTTTATTTTCTTATTGGATCTACGAAACCGCAGTTTTTCATTTCGTCAATACAATAAAATGTTTTTTTTTTAACTTTCCGCAGAGAAGTTTCCCCGTAGGCTGTTTGACCCCCAATTTTGATTTTATATTTGTGTTCAGCGATAAAAAATACACGAAAAACATATGTTGCACACCCAGCTAGATATTGTTTTATGTGGACCAGATTATTTAATAATTATCCACAACCAATGCGAATGATCAATAAAACCTAGTGTTGGATAATCGAGTCCCCATTGTACAGCATCACATATCCTTGTGATTTATATTTTTTTGCATACAATTAAATTGCACAATATAATATTAACCTACAATAAATAAACTATTTCGAATTGAATATATCCTGGAGTAGTTGTTTCGTGATAACTCTATGAGGTCTTGTGGGGTCTAGTTCGCGCGGTTTCGAGTAGAGTCTCGCGTTTATGCTGTACAGGTGTTTGCTGAGGTCGCACTGCACGTTGAACCACCAGTCGCACACGAACACCGCCTGAGAGAACTGCGTTCCGTTCGGGCACAGGAAGGTCGCCTGGCGACCATCGATGTCGCAGTAGTGCCATCCTGGGAAACGAAATAAATACATCAAATATAGTATCATACAGGTTATTATATGAATAGATTACGAAATAGAATTAAACTAGAGGTGCATATTGTGCTGTGCCTTAACCACTTCGGTACGGCGCCTGCTGTCCACGAAAAAACACCAGCCGGCAGGCATCGTCCATATACTGCCTTGTTTATAGACAGGCCCTATGGTGACACTTAAAAATACTGTCACTGGTAATAGGCCGTTTTCAAGGACGTTTTCACAATCTAACGGATAAACATTGGTACGGAACGTATACAAGATAAATGATTTTTTGAATTATTTAAATCGGACGCTTTGTTCTTTCTAAAACTGAAATGTCATTTTTTGCACTGTTTACCCCGTATTTTCCAATCGGCTGGACTATCAATAGGAATCAAATGTTTTTTTGAAGCATTCAAGTCGGTTGATCCGTGCTCTCGAAATCATGGACGAAAATGTGTATCCGAACATACAAATACATACATCCAACACACACCAACACATACATAATTTTTTTTAAGGTCTGCAAAAATGTTCAGAAGATTTGAAACGTAAAGATATGCAAAATTTTGCCTTAAGCAAGTTGAATGAACTTCCTCCATACGTGTAAATAATTGACTTTATCCATAAGAATTGAAAGTTAGCTATTTAAATGAAATTCTTAACTGTTCGTTTTGCAAATAAAGTTTTTCCTTGACATTAAAATTAATCAATCACAATTTTTCTATAGAATAAGTTATTATAACCGTCAAAAAATTGAAATTGAAAATTTTTGCATATCTTCATGTTTTGAAGGTTTCTGAACATTTTGGCATACTTTAAAAAAAAATGATGTGTGTGTGTGGATACTATTTTCTGTCGACAATTTCGGGCGTACGATACAACCGATTTGAATCATCTGAAAAACAATCGGTTCTTATTGATGAGGAGACGTGCTGATCAGTTTTTGGCAAAAGTTGATCCAGCCGTTTCGGAGATACGAAGTAAAGAGTGCAGATAATAGAAATCGACTTTTTGAAAGGATTGAGCGTCTGATTTGAATGATCCAGAAAACATTCAATTAGTAATGATGGAGAGAAGTGGCGATTAGTTTTGACAAAGGCAGGTCTAGCTGTTTCGGAAATGAGAAGCTAAATGTGCAAAAAATTGCTGTTTTCTCAAAAAATTGCTTGTGTCGACGAAACGATTGCTTTTAGAGAAAGATTTTTTTAAATTCATTTTTTTTTAATTTCCAAAAAAAAATTTTTGAATATAAAAAGTAATTTGGATTTTAATTCTAATTTAGCTAAAGTTTCAAACATCATTTATATACTTCAAATAAATAATTTTAACTTTGCAATTCAGTTTGAATAATTTTAAGTTTATAAGATTAAGTTTTGTTTATTTACTTTTTTGTAAACATATATAAACGTCGTCGTGCAATTCATAAAGTCCTATATTTTTTTCTATAAAATAAGAATAATGAAAGCTACAGTATTTATATTAATCTATTTGAAAACATTTAATATTCTTCGAATATTTCATTACGATACGGGAACTTCCAGCAATTTGCCTTAAGGCACGATGCCATACTTTATTAGTATACATTAAAAATTAATCAAAGACCAATCAAACGATTTCTAATTGATATATTTTAAACATACTCCTATTATGTGTAATTGTAAAAAATGAAGTCATTTATTTAACGAATTTCATTTTATTCTACTCGCGTTCTAAAAATGTTTTTTATTTAAGTGTGGACGTCAACGCACGAAATCAGAGACTACAATTCATTCATCAGTAGCTCCAACAATTAGTCACGACAAAACGGTTTGTCCGATCTTAGCCAAAATCCAATCAGGGCAATTCTCAAATTTTTTCCCTCCAACGGTTTTTAAATGTTCGAAATCTATTGAGAAATTATGGCTAAAACGTGAGCACAAAATTTTGCACTTTTCTGCTAATTACAAAATATTGGCTTTGTCTATCGTCGCGCAAATGGTCCTTATCGAGTTATATCGAACGGCTTTTTTTTAAATTAGTGCAGTCTTTTCAGAGCAAATATGGACAGAAGTCAAAAATTGGCTCACAAACACATACAACTTTTTTCAAATTTTGAGTCAATTCAGAATTCCTTGAAATGTCGAGAAAACAAAATTAAAAAATTTTTGAGACAATTCAGAATTCCTTGAAATGTCGAGAAAACATAAAATTAAAAAATAGGATACTCTAATTTCTAGCTTTAAACAAACTTCGAGAAGTTAATAATATACAAAAAATTGCAATATTAGCACCCGACTGCAGCAGGGATGCTAAAAGCTTAGTATTCATTGTAAAAAGTGTAAAAAGATATCCCACGCAGTTTCAAAATTAGCAGCTTTTAAGTACAAACTAGCGCTTTAGTTAAACTGTGATCATATTTAGATCATTTCAGGGTAATTTTTGACCATTCAATTTTTCGACCGAATAGAACATTTCTAGGACCACAGTCAAACATTATTACTTAATTGTTCCAAGTTTTCTAAAATTAAGATTTTTTGTTAAACTGTGAACTTAAATTTTTTAAAATATGTCGACTTTCAGAGACTGTTCTTAAAATAACGTATTAAAGTGACTTGGCAAGTTCTATCAAGTGTTTGCACATTTATTCCGGAATGTATAATGATGCAATACTGCTAGTTTCATACTTAAAAATTTTCTTAATAAATTAACGATTATACGGATTTAAATTTGATTAAATTTCTATAATATTTGTTTTCAAAGTAGTAAAGTTTTGAAAGTTTACCTTATGGTAACATAAAAATTGACATAAATATAACTGAGAATTAATTTTATTTCAACACAGGAAATAAAGGTAATGATATTGATTTTGACTAAAGTCAATGATAATAAACAAAGCCATTTTGGTGGCATTAATAACACAATTTGCTTTCACCATAAATTATTTGATTTGAATATTAGTTATTCTTTATCATATAAAATCTGCTCGACAATATACTTTCATTAGTGTGGTTATTGGTAATGAACATTTGGACTGGTTTGTAAGTGCATATATTGAAATTAACAGGAGTGCGCATCCGCATAAATTGTGGTTGTACAGGCTACGGTATCATAATCACAGCACTTAACAAACGCGTTCGGTGATGCCGGATTGCATAATCAATACTCGTTATAGAAATAAATAAATATATGGGGTGTCATGCACCAAGGTATGATCAGACCTCTAATTTGAATCAATGTGGGACACGTGTCTAAATTTTGCGTTGCAGATTTGCAAAGGCGTTTTAGCTAAAAGTTGATATCGCTGCTGACGATGTCGGAGAATCCGCGAAGGCTTCAAATGCAAACCACATGCATATATGATGAATGGAGGACAGCTCATGTTAAATCAACTCAAATTATCATATAAACCAACATCAAAAATGGTAACGACCATATTGCTTAAAATAGTCCAAAATAAACCAGATAAATCGTTTATAGAAGTTGTCCTAGAGAAAAGTCGAGAAGATAAAATAAACAGGCATGGTGAAAAGTTATACAACTATGGGGATCCATTTCCAAATCAAACGTGATAAAAATTCAAAGATGCTTAAATAAATTTTTAAAAGAAATTTTGAATGAACATGAAGACGCCAACATTAACATAATAAGCGATGAAATGCGAACACATTCAGACAATTACAAGAGCCGCATCGAGGATCATCCAAACCCACTTGCCAGAATTCTGCGCCAAAACACTACCAGGACATGATTAGTAAAGAAATTCATGTCAAATTAATATATATCAATGTTCAAGATCTTTGACAATGGTCACTTTTTGTTCCTATATTAACCTAAGGTAGGCCAAATGTTGTGCTGGAGAATAGTCGAGAATATAAAAATAAACAGATCAGGTGAAAACATATACAACTAAGGAGATTAGCTTCAAAATCAAATGTGATAAAAATTCAAAGATGCTAAGATAAATTACTAAAAAAAATTTAATGGCCCAAAGTATGTACTGAATTGGTTAATAGATAAAGATACCAACATGAACAGATACCACATGACTTTTGCGCAATGTCACCGAAGAGAGTGTGGAAATAGGTTGATTTGTAATTAATAATTTCCATCTTCATGAAAATTGCATTATAAAATATTTGTTTACAAAAATAAAATGAATAAGAATAGAAGGAATACTGATTATTAGACAAAAATTCAAAGAATTGAAAGCCGAGGTGCAAACGTGGAAACATGGAAGAAGTTTAAATGCAAGTAACTTCGGGTAAATCACCAATGATGTATTTATGAATAGTTTTATTATTAATATTATCTAGATTAATATTATTAATATTAATATGCAAACCAATCATTTAGTTCGAATAAATTTGGAACAAATTTAATCTATTTGAAACGTCTTTCTTGGATGATATATTCAATATTAGGATGTGTAATGTGATAAGAAGTCACACCATATCCACCAGATATAAACTCCAGACAAGTCTTCCTGATATCACCGGGAATTGTATCAAATAAATTTGAATTTGCGCCATTTCAATAATCATGCTTCATATTTATCGAATTTGATGCCATTCGCAGTTGTTGTATGATCATTTTTTAGATTCAGTGCTTTATATTTTTTGGGATTTTGCAAATCATTAATACTTTTTCATCGGGTTCTTAGTTTAATTTTTAAACTACATTATCTACTATTTTTCCTTATTTCAACACCAATCAAAGCTTAACAGTTCTGTTGTAATGAAACTTTTCTTTAACAACATCACTCTTTAGAAGACAACCCAATGTTTGACCTATCTATATTTGAAATACTTCTATTATTAGTATTTACCTAATACTGCTGATACATTTATAATTTGATATAGCAATTTATTTATTTAACGAATTTCGTTTCATTCTACTCATGTTCTACAATTTTTTTTTATTTAAGTATGGACGTCAACGCTGGAATCAGAGGCTACAATTAATTCATCAGTAGCTCCAACAATTAATCACGAAGAAACGACTTGGCTGACCTTTGCCAAAAACTAATCGGGACGATTCTCTAATATTATGTTTAAAAATTTTCAAAATTGATTGGGATTTTGGCTGAAACGTTGACGTAAAATTTTGCACTTTTCCGCCAATTGCAAAAAATCGAGTTATATCGAATGTCTATTTAATTCTTAAAATCGATGCAGCCGTTTTTGAGCAGATATCGACAAAGGTCAAAAATTGTTTCACACGCTTTTGAAATTTTGTGTCAACCGATTCAGAAGACAAGCAATTAATTTTTCATAGATTAAGCTTTTAAGTTTTACCCTAGAGCTTCCGTTAATCGCTGTCTAAACTATGACAATATTTGGGTTATTGTGGTTAATTTTTGTTATTTTAGTTCATTTAATCTTTGTGACCATATCCGTAGAAAACGTAATAATTTACATAATACTGCTGATATATTTATAATTTAATAGAGCAATACAGAAACAAAAATTTTAAATCAATGTGTTCAATAGAAAACCGACGCCACTTTCGCTTGATACAGATATAAAATGATATCTATATATCGAATATGACTACATTGAACGATTTAAGAAATAATAAACTATGAACGACTATTACTTAAAAATAAGCATAAACTCTATCACCATGCAAAGTTTCATCAAAATCCCAGAAGAGTAAACCTGAGCTTTTCCTTGTTAGTGCTTCTCGTCTATACGTAGTGCTCGTCAATTGCGATAGTATTTTCCACGTAAAAATATCTGCATTATCTCTGCCCCTTGCCCACATGAAATTTTTAATTTAATATTTAAAAATAGTTATGTAAATTAATTCTGTGACAAGTGAAGCATTCACATGTAAAACGTGTAATCCCTCAATCGATCGCCTGCGATTATTTTTGAATCGTTCACTCTTTGAAGTTTTTTGCGGACCGAGAGCGCTCTTTACTTTAAGATTCAAGAATTTTATTTTTAAATAGCTGTAGATAATGATTTATTTATAAGTTGCAGCTTTTTCCACGAATGGATATATTTTAGAAAATATCATGATTAATAAATCAAGTTTCTGAAAATCAATACTACTTCTTTGAAGATTTGTATATCATTTACTGAAGAGACATCTAACTACTAAAGACCTAAATGTTAATTAAACCAGGTGTCAGTGGAATTTTGCTTTAAGGCAAATTGCGTGAACTTCTCGATACGAAATCAATAATAATTGGGTTGTAGCTATTTAGATAAAATTTTCAACTGCTTTTTGCGAAAATAGTTTTCACTTTCAATAAAAAAAAATCCAATTTATATCTTTCAAACAAATTTATAATATCTATAATTGAACTAATTATAGTGCACAAACACGCGCGTGTTAGTTTTAAAAGCGCAGCCCATAATTCCAAACTTTAATGAATTTTTATAATTAACTTCCCGTAGGGCGAGTTATAGTAATCGCAAAAAAATCGAAAATGAAAATTTTTATTTATCTTTACGTTTCAAAGCTTTCTAAATCTTTTGGCATACCTTAGAAAAAATTGATGTATGTGTGTGTGTGTGTGTGGGTATGTGTGTATATGTGTGTGCGTGTGTGTGTGCGTGTGTGCGTGTGCGGATACAAATTTTCGTCGATGATTTCGGGAACACCGATCAACCGATTTGAATAATTCAAAAAACATTCGATTCTTATTGATAAGGAGACGTGCTGATTAGTTTTTGGCTAGGGCAGGTCTAAACGTTCTGAAAATACGGGGCAAGAAGTGCCAAAAATGATAACTCAGTTTTTAAGAGAACGGAGCATCCGATTTTAATAATAAAAAATTGATCAAATTTTCATGAAGGCTGGTCTAGGGGTTTAGGAGATCTAATGCAAAAAAGTAAGAAAAATGCCATGTGGCGGTCTAAAATGATCATTAGACATATGCACATCAAATTATAAGATATTTTATAGAGATTTTAACAAAAATATTTTTGTTTACATTCCTATGTAATGTTTATCCGTTAGACGGCGACGCGGCGCTTACGCGCTTAGACATTTCGTCTCTATGCTGTTAAAGCATTACGTTTGCTTTGAAAAAAAGTTCAGAATTTCCAAAATAGGTCAAACAGGTTCTTTATTTTGATAAAGAAATTTTTTTTTCAAAACAAAAGTAATTTTTTGTCAAATTTATAGTTTCTCAAAAATCTAATTTTTTTGAAGTAAAATTTTTAAAAAAATGTTAATCGTTTTTAAAAAAATAATAATTTTTGGTACGGGAAGTTCAGCAATTTGCCTTAAGGCACGATGCTATGCGCCCCGCTAGTTCAACCATTCAATTCAATATAATTTCGTAAGACTGATGTTTGTTTAAATCTATAATCCCTTCTAGGGTCATCGTTTCAAGAAGTTCACAAAATCCAAATTTGGTCTTAACGATTCAAGGGGGTCCACAAAAAAATAAAAATGGGGGTCCACGGTAATGGATTATAATACACCACGTTAATATCTATTTTCTTACATTTTACTAATATAATAAAAAGTCATATACTGCAATATTCATAAATAGAATTAGAACGTAAATAACAACATTGATCTTTTTTATAAAAATATATAAGTTGTGCATAAGTAGACATTCGATTTGTGGTCGCAATATGTTAGATCTTGTTAAGACCCAGTGTACTGACTATTAGAAGACTTGGCAATATTCTTTGCGCTTTATGAGTCATAGTATTTCTGGATACAAAAGATAAAAAACGATTTAATAGTTTTAAAATCGACAGAAAAAGGGAGGTTTGGCGTTGTTACTTATCTAACAAAAAAAAAAGATGTAGGGTGGAAATTTTTAGCCTGGAGATGTAGAATTAAACCTCAAAAAATATTGATAATACTAAACGTTTAGTTTACTTTTTGCTTACTTTATATTTTCATCATTAATTTAAATTGAATTAATAAATGTATAAAAGTAACATATATTTTCACTTTAAATATTTAATAATAAACTGAGTACAGTTAAAAATTCGAAACATAAAAAAATCGATGTCGTATAAATTTGAGGGTACGTGGCTAAGTCCAAGGAGTCCACGTCACGAAACAGTTTTGGAGCCTATGGTTTAAATCATAAACTCTATCGTCAAGTTAAGGTTTATTATAAAAGTCTGGTCTATCTTGGCCAAAAACTAATCTGCACGATTGCTAATGATATTTTTCATATAGTTTTTGAATTTTAAAAATTGGTTCAGAAACTTTTAAGAAGAATTTTGCACTTTTCTGCTAATTCTAAGAAAAACAGTTGGGCCGATAGAATGGTGAAAGTAACAATCGCGAGCAGCAAAGAATTTGGGGCGCTCGTACGCCAAAAGTTTTGATTTTGCAAAATAATGGTTATTGAAAGAAATATAGAAACTTTTCTCGAGGAAATAAGCCGGATGCCATTTTCCCAATATGGCGACGCCTGCGGGGAAAATTCGAAATCTACAAGCTACGAATTTTCAAAACTCCCTAGGTACTTTCCTGGCAACAGCCTTATTTGCACCAAATTCCACACACATATATTTCCAAATTTGATCTCAAGCGATTCAGAATGACTTGGAACGTCGAGAAAACAAAAAATTAGATAGTCGGATTTTTTTTTGGAAAACTTAAATTTCGCGAAGTTAAAAAGATCTAATGCGTTTCAAATCTTCTACTCGCGGAGAAATACAATAATAATGATAAATTTTAGTATATATATATATTTTAAAGTGAGAAACGCATTTTTCTAAGAATTGAGCGAATAATTAAATAAGGTCTAATTTATTTTAATTTAAAATATAGTAATGATAAAAAATTATTAAATTTTTCAACGGTAGAAATAATACAACACGAAGCAAAGTGTCCTGACGATTAGAATTATCAAATTCAAACAAGACAATTTTGCATTTCCATGCATTCTGATATTTTAAACTAAAAACTTCTTCTTTTATTAGCAATTAGTGCTCGGTTTACTTTACACAAAAATTGAAAAAAGTTCTGGATCCACGTAAAGTGAGTGAATATAATTTCAAAGTTAAAAGTCTACGCGATATTGGTTAGAAATTTCGATGATTATTTACGAATAAAAATCTAGCGTATAATTGCTTTTTTATTACAAAAGAAAATTATTGCTGTTTCAAATGACTGTGTGATTTAATTAAAAAATAAAGTAACGCAGCTATTTGTGGATCTGTATGGCTCGTTGCAGTACTTTCACATTTTGTTATTGAAAAGTGTTTGATACTTTTATATAGACAAGATACAAGATACCTAGCTAGGTTTATCTCCCAGCTCAAAACACGCAAATATAAATGAAAATTTGCATTTTTACCATCTATAAATCTATCTAATACTAAAGTAAAATTTTACATATGTTTGTTTTAGGGTACCTTGGCATCTGGTTTCCATATCTGCAAAAAATCCAGGATATGGTTGCTCATCACAATAAAAATTCGTGTATGGTACATCTGCTAGTACTGGATAGTCTGTTCCTGGCCGACCTAGTAAGGTACATATTTTTTAATTAAATTAAATTGATTACTAATAGTTAAATCGAATGCATGAAAGCAATACCTTACTTTAACGTTAATTTAGATACAAAAACTAACGAGTTTTGATTTTTAATCGGTAATCATTGTAACCAACTATATTATCAAATGATTATCAATGTTCTGCTACATCCTATAGAGATTTTTCATACCTTATCGACAAATCGATGGAAATAAATTTTGATTGACAGAGTTTTCAGTCAAATTCAAATTACATTACATTCAAATTATCTGGTGATCATTTGTAAATAATTGTTTTAATATTATTTTTGAAAAGTTGTCTAATGTAGACATTCCAGTTTTTATGGAACCAATCTACGTAATTTGAATTCAACATATTATCACTGTTTATTTTGCAATAGATTCAGAATATCGAATAAAAATCTATCAAAAAATACTTGAAAATAAATGAAACTTAAGTATGTTTTAAAAGATTTTTTTAATATTCATCAAAATACGCTGAGGACATCCGTTTCGAACCAGATTGCCTTGAGAAGATTCATGCATATGAAATTAAACATTAAACAACTCACAAATTTATAAAAATGATGAGCTATCCGAATATATTAGACGATAACGATATTATTTTTTTTGAATCAATATTTTTTTTAAATATATATATATATATATATATATATATATATATCTTGATAGTTTTTTCGACGTTGAAACATATTTAAGAGTAACTAGTAGCCCATTCGTCGAAATAAAAAAACTTTTCTCAAAATGGTTTTAATTTTGTGGTTATTCATCATTATTTTTTTCAAAAAATTGTCCTCGAATATTGATACAATGTTAGTTTTCTAATATTTTTTTTGTTTTTGTCCTGGTGGTATATATAATGTTCCTCTATGTTTATATTTATTTTATATTTGTTTTATTATTGGTCAAATGTTTCAAATTTTATTGTAGTTGCTGAATGATGACATGCATCTGGTGTCGAAACGTACAAATAACGGTTTTAAATACTTTTTACATTTTTTTATTTCGACGAATGGGCTGCTAGTTACTCTTAAATATATATATATATATATATATATATATATATATATATATAATATTTTGTAGAGCTTCGAACAAAATCCAAAAAGTAATGAAAAACTAGAAAGTTTTTCTAAAGACCATTTCTTTACTTATTTTCTGTTGACGTTTTGGAACTAAGTACGTTCCATCTTCAGGACAACTATCAAGAAACATGATCTTAATAAGATTTAAACAAACAATATATTTAAGAATAGTAGAAATTTGTGAAAAGTAGGATTTTTATAAAATGATTAAAATTGTGGAAGAGATAACATTATAAAAAAAATATGACAATATAAACAAAATAAAATTAATAAGAATAAATGAGTGGATTATATAACGAAATATTAGAAAATTAGAAAGTTTTATAAAAAGGTTAAAAAAAAACAGAATTAATTACCTGTATAATGATTATACACTAACACTTTTTCACTAAAAACGATTTTATCAATAAAAAGTGTGTTTTTATTAACTTCTTTTAAGACGAAGATCAAATTTTGCAAATCAAAGTTATTAGTTACGTGTTTTTCGAGTTCATAAAAATCCACCATTCTCTACTTTCCTTAAACATATTGTTATAAATGATTATTGGTTCAAACAGTTATTGTTTCAAAAACTGAATATATTGCTTTTTCTTAATATTAAGAAAGTATTAACACAAAAATGCATATCCGTTCTTTTATATTTTTTGGATGTTGAATTTTAAAATGCGGAATACCATTTAACCATTTTTGGTCATTGGACAACTTTGTAATTGTGGACAGATGGTCGTTTTAAAAAAACTTCACCATAAAAATCATAGCTCGATGGAAATTTGCGAGCTAGCGAAATTTTTAATATAGTTCCTATTTTATACATAAGTATTTTGTATTTAACAAAAAGTTGCAAAATATGCGACTGAAATCGAGAAATTTTAAAGAAATCCGTAAAATTTTCTGGTATTTACGAGAATCTTCGAAAGAAATCTAAGAAAGTCACATGTGCGTCGATTTTTTTATTGATTTCATCAAAGATATAAAATGTAAAAGTAAATGTCAAAAAGAACTTCTTGACCCCAAAACCCCCTGCAATACAATTTGGTGAAAAATTATTTTGTATTTTGAGTATGGATGGCTGCTTGCTCAAAAAGCTTTGCCTTTTTATCTACATATCTCTCACAATCCGAAAAAATTACATAAAATATACGTATATTTTATCATACCTGGTATGGATTTGCCAAGTTCGAGGTATTCCCTCACAGACGGGCTCAGAAATCCTGGTGGGACATTGGCTTGTAAATTTTTGGGTAGATTATTCCGCTCATCAGGGTTATCTGATAAAAAATGATTTATCTCTTGTGGCGGTTCGCGAAGTCCAAAAAGGGATTCTGGAGCCCTTGGACGTTTTACCCGTACTCCGTCTTCACGGCCATCTGTGTAATTGAAAATTTCATTATTGTTAGTAATAATCGAACAATAATTACATTTCTTTATAAATTGTAATTTTGAGTTTATATTGATAATCTTCAAACGCATTTTATAACATTGCTTCTAAACTTTAACCCTTTCCACTCTGATGCCGCCGCTCCGGCGACAAAGTGCATACAACTTTTACAATGCGCGAGTTAAATCTATTTTTTCAACAGATTTTGCATTACTTTTGCAGAATCTTACCTTGATTGAATATTATTTTTTATTTAATTTGAATGGGGTAAAAAATTGAATAATCTTCATACAAAACTGTCGTTTTTTTCAATAGGAATATATATCTAAGATGTCACAAATAAATGTAAATTTGTTTTCGGCTTTGCTTAACTGATAACAACAATATGAAACGAAAATTGAACATATAACTAAATACATCATAATTGCCTTTGAACTTTCTTTATTTTTTTTTTCAAACTGCAATGTGAACTTAGAGTCCTTTGAGCTATTGAGATGCTAATTGTTTTCTAGAACTCTAGTCTTAGTTAATCTTAGTCTTAGCTTCATCTATTATACAATTCTAGTCTTAGTTAGGCAATCCACTGGTTGTCTTATATATATTTGAGATATTTTTTAAATTTAATGGAACAATAACGGCAACATTTTCTAACTATATTTTGAAAAGAAATTGGATATCTCCACTTGATATCAGGTTGTTTAAAACGCGGGTTTGAATAAGTAACTTTGCAATGACATAATATCCTTGATCAATTTTTTATTTACTAATTCTTTTCTATAAGTTTAGTCTTAGTTAGCTAACCCACTGGTCGTCTTTGAAATATTTTTTGATATATTTTTTAAATTTAAGGCAACTATACCGGCAAAATATTGTTAACTATATTTTCAAACGAAAATGGATATCTCTACTTGATATCAGGTTGTCTAAATCGCGAGTTTGAATAAGTAACTTTGCAATTACATCATATCCTTGATTTTTGATAATTTGATCAAATTTTTAGTTACTATCAACTTATGGCAACAATACTATCAATGTCTTTGGATTTGTTCCTAAATTAGAACTTGTTGGTGCTTGTATGTTTGATACTTATTGCAGACGGTGTGTTACAATCTGGTACAAGTACTTTGGATTGAAACTCCAAAAAATTGAAAAAATTAAATAATATTAGTCCTGATTCTTGTCATAATTGGGATGCAGTATTTTGCCATTAAACATTCTGCAGGATTGTGGACGTAGTTTGGAAGATGATATTCCAATAGATGGTTCAGAAAATGGTAATAGTATTGATAATTTGACGGGTTCACTTGCACTACAAAGTCTTTACGTGGAATTGTCGAATCAATTATGTAGCATTTACGTATAATGCCCAAGTTTTACGATTTTCTGTCCCATGAACCATTCATCAGTTGTATCTACACTTCCAATTAATTATTCACACAAATTTGTGAAAATCAGCTATTCGAATCAAGATAAATACGGCAAACTTTTATTTTGTGCTTACGTGGGGCAATAGTTTAGACTCCTGTTTTGCAACCACAGTAATCTTGGTTCAGATCTAATGCATGCAACCTGATATCATACAGTGTTTTATCAATTTTAAATTGAAAATATGGATCAGAAATATGTTTCCAGTGAAAAGTATTCCTTTTAGGCACTTCTGTTCAAATTAAATATTTCTCTAATAAAAGTATTCCTTATGGACACTGTTGTGCAAAGTAAAAATCATGATGTAAAACATTCAATAGAATAGGATATTAAAAGCGCATAAAAACAATGTGATGAAAACAATGAATAGGTCTGGATATAAATAGGTGTAAGTAGCATTTTGCTTTAGGGCAAGTTGTGTGAACTTTCTGATATTCGTGATCAATCAGAATTGAGATTTTTCAACTGTTGAAATTGTCACGAAAGTATTGTGAACTTTTGGCAAGGCCTATTATTCTAAATTTTGGGAAACTTTCATAATTAAAACCACTTTTTTAGGCCTATTATATTTTAGATTGTTTGTTCTGACCATGAACTTCATCATCATACAACGTTCTATCATAATCGTCAAAAAATATCTGTTTGGCTATTAACTAACAATGAGAGAAATAGCCCGACCGATCTTCCCCAGAAACTAATAACAAATATTCTACTGATACTTTTTCAAAATAACAACTTTCGAACAGTTTTTGAATTGTTAAAAACGTTTCTGAATTTTTGGCAAGAACTTGGATTAAAAATTTTGCCCTTATCTTCTAATTATGAAGAAACGGCTCGACTAATGGACTCGAGCAAAACTAAGCAACGCTTGGCTTCTAAAATTTTGAAAACGGTAAGTCCGGTTATCAGAAATTGTCAATGAAAGATTAAATTTTGGCTCACATACAAGCCCACATACACACTTCTTTCAATGTTGGTGTCAAACGATTCAGAATTGACTTGAAACTTGAAATTAGCAAATCGTATTTTGTGGCGAAAACATAAATGTCTGTTTCGGGAAGTAAATTACACTACATCCCATTGCAGTAACCAAATAGTAATATTTTTATCCCTCAGCTTTCTATTTAACATCCCTCAATATCCGCTCCCACTTTGTATTGTTGGTAGATCACGTACCATGGTAATGTATCAGATTTACAGATTTTGCAGATTAATAAGTTTTTACGATAAATATTTGGTGGAGATCACTCTGATTAAGTAGATATCAAGTGTACTCTAAATTTACGCACGATTTAGTTTACGATATATATTGATCTTCACCATTCAACCTTCTTCTCTTGTTACTTCTGCTAGTTTCTCATTTATTATAAGTTACAGATATTTATATTAATAAATTTATACCCCTCACTCCAAAGCGTCACGGGTAAAATAGAAAAAGCCCTGGTCAAATCTTGACCAATATGGATATACATATAACATTTTGTAAATCACAATCATGATCCCGTCTAACAAAAAGTGGTCGTTGGCGCCGCACTACGATTCGCTCGCTTTCAACATAACACTCACTTGATAATAAACTAATATTATAATTAATATTTTTATATCCATCAGCTTTCGAAAGGTTTAGTAAGTTAGTTATGGGTCTGTCAAATAGTTTTTCAATAATCGTAGTCAATGTGTTATAGTGAAATTTATTTAAACCATGCAACCCCTCGCGATGGTAAATGTTAAATGTTAAATGGTAAATGTTGAGATAGAGTATATTCAATGGTGCATTTGAATAGAGTAAAAACTAATGTTGCAGTTACATAAATATTATGGTGGTCCTTAATATGGACATTTTGAATTGCCTTGCTCCCAAGGACTCAAATGGTTCCAAATTGATAAAAAACAATTCTCTGAAAGTTTTAGCTCTTAATATTGTCTTTTAGATAGAGCGAAATTCAATCAAAGTTTTGTATGGAAAAAAATTTTCAAAAATTTTGCAGAGCGTCGAATTTTCAATAAAAAATGACACGAATTTTCACTTTTAATTCATTTGTCGCTAAGTTATACATAATTTTTTTTTAATTTTCAAAATTTTTCATGCTATTTCCATACGAAGTTTGATTGATTTGCGCACTATCTAAAAGTTAATATTAAGAGCTAAAACTTTCAGAAAAATTTTTAGAGAAAGAGTTTATAAATTTGGAACCATTTGCGCTTTGGGAGCAAGGCAATTCGAAAATGTCCATATTAAGGAGCATTATATTTTTTAAATATAATGAAGCTTTACGGATATGTCGATATTCCCACATTAAAAACGTAACACAATTGTCACTAGTATTTTAAAAGTATTAATTTTGGTAAAAACAAATCCATTGTTCTACGGATTATTATAATTATATTACTATTATCTACACCAAGAGTAGGTCGCGAATTGTCTTTACATATTTTTCGCAATACACATCTCGCATAAAAATAACCTAAGAAGAACTTTGACATTAGCATACCTGTTGTTAACAATAATCCAGTAAGAAATATGAACAGGCAAGACAGGTCAATTTTAATCTGCAACATGTTTAATTAATACGTCGATTCTCTATATTTTAACTAACAATTCAATCACAACACACTGTCATCAGTAATTATTTTATCAAAAACGATCACCACCATGCTACGTTGTGTAATAATTAATCCTCGTAGCACACAGGGGAGTAATGACACATTTTTATTCGGCAAGGGTTGAATGAATTTTATCACTTTGAAATTTGTAAATTATATCTCACTAAGTTGGTTTGTTTTTCAAAGAAACCAACATTACCGTAATTCTTAATAATGTTCTCGCAAGTAAAGAAGTACACGGTACACGATGAGAATTATTACAGACGAAAGTGTTTCGCGAGAAAGGGAAACTGGCTGTTCCAACGATCGTCATGTGACAACATAAGATACAGACTTTTGTTATTGTTATCGGTTATACATACATACATAAATAAATACACACATGTATATTTACCTGTATGAACAATCTACATATGTATACATGTACGTAATATATGTATATATGTAGCTTTTTATTCAAATCCCCACTATTTGCAATCGCAGTCGAGCTAAACCTGTTCTAGCCTTGCCGAGAGTACGTTGCTTGACGGTCCAGGCGGTCTACGGTCTACTCGCTGATTCTATAACAAATGACGAATGTATGCAAATGCATAGACATATACCACCTCGCATAATAATCGCAATTTCTACACGGAAAAGTTTTTGAATATCTAAATCGGCCCCCGTTCTGCCCTTCTATGACATCATATGTTTGGTCATGTTTATTATCAACTTCCCGTAGGGCAAAATAGTGATACGATCAGCTTTGAATCGTAAAAAATACCATACTGATACATTTGATGCAAATAAACACTTTATTTTTAACTTTTCGTTGGATAAATTATAGCAATCGCAAAAAAATCGCAAATGAAAATTTTCGCACAACTTTACGTTTCAAATGAGTATTGTCATACCTTATTATCAGAAAACTCGTAGGGTGCATGGCTTCATGCCTTAAGGCAAATTGCTGGAACTTTCCGTACCGTAATTAAAAATATTGGTACGGAAACCAAAAAAATTTACACAAAATGTGTACACATTATTAAAATCTCTATAAAATATCTGATAATATGATGTGCATATATCTAATGATGATTTTTGACCGCCAAATGGGATTTTTTAAACTTATTTTTATTGAGAGTCCATAACCGCTAGACCTGCCTTCCCAAAAATTTAATCAGTTTTTCATCTTATCAATACAAGTAAAATGTTTTTTGAATGATTAAAATCGGACGCTCCGTTCTCTTAAAAACTTAGTTACCGTTTTTGGCACTTTTTGCCCCGTATTTTCGGAACGGCTAAACCTGCTTTTGCCAAAATCTAATCAGCACGTTTCCTTATCAATACGAATCGAATGTTTTTTGGATTATTCAAGTCGGTTGATCCTTGTCGACGAAAATTTGTATCCGCACACACACACATACATCCATTTTTTCTAACTTTTGAAACGTAAAGATATATAAAAAGTTTCATTTTCGATTTTTTTTGCGATTACTATAACTTACCCTATGGGAAGTTAAAAATGTAAGTATGTGTGTGTGTATGTTTGCATGTATGTATGTGCGCATATAATTTTTTTGTCGACGATTTTGAGGACACGAATCAACCGATTTGTATAATTCAGAAAACATTCGATTCTTATTTATGAGGAGACGTGCTGATCAGGTCCAACCTTTTTGATGATTCGAGGCAAAAAGTGGTAACAATGGTAATTCAGTTTCTGAAAGAACGAAGCAAAAGCATTTTACTTGCATTGACGAAATGAATGAATAATTTTTGGTCCAACGTTTTGGAAATCCAGTTTTTATTACCATTTAATATGACAAAGGCTAATATTATTGGCTATTGGTCTAATCTAAAGCGATTACAACTACTTGTTCTTAGTTTTTTATATTTCTGTGTTTGTTAACTTATATCACTAATCTGATATTTTTTCGGGAGGGCAACCTAGTGGTTAACTACTTTTCTAGAAATTACTACATATTATATATTAGATGTGTGTATCTAATAGTGTTGACTTGTATGTGATGCACCAATGCCTGATTTCATACTGCCTGATACCGATTTTGGCCGAAGTTGAGATCGAACACGGGACTAGTTCTAACGAAGTTAGATAACTTTGTCTAAAGTTAGAAAATTAGTGCTAATCCAAGTTCATACCAGTACGCCAAGGCTGGCTCACTTGAAAAAAATAATGAAAAAGTTTAATAACTGATTTTTATTTTATAATGCATGTTACTGCCCTTTTACAGAAATTCAAACATTGAACAGTTAAAAAAAATCAAAGTTTGCGCAAATAATATTTTTTAAATTATGTATTGTTGATTTAAATGTGTTTTCAGTCGTGAAACTATATTCTGAAAAATATGTATATAATGGAATTGGTATATAGGGCAGACCGGGGCTTAAAGGTTCGCGGGTAAAAGGATCTACTTTTTTACCCGCAAGACCTCAAAAATCAGTAATGTTAAAAAAATTTATCAACAATATTTGGAAGATGAGGGAAAAAGATGTATAACCAGCCATCACCATGATTCTTATGACGTCGATATCAGAAGATCAAGGGCAATGTTTGAAAATCCATAACAAAAGTATTTTCCTTCGTTTTTAGTTTTTGGTCGTGAGCACTGTTGCTTAGTTTACGAGACCATAATATAATTTTTAAGTATACGTTATTTGTTTTGTGAGATGATTGTTAATTTTAAGTTACATTTAACCGTATTTTTTATATAACCTTCATGAAAGCTTCCACGCGGGTGAGGTAAAAAGGACCAACTGAACCTTTACTCTGGCAAAGGTGTAAAAAATAAAAAAAATAGCAAATAAAAAAGTAATTTAGAATAAAACAGCAATTTTACAAAAGATAGATTAAATAAATAGTTATTCCAACTCTGCTGCTGAAAATTTCTGACGGAATACCAGATCAAGGTTATTTACAGTATTATCTCTGTAAAAAATGCATCCAGAAAATTTTTACTTACAATTAGCACTGGTTGAAATAAAATTAAAATATGACATTAGACCTGTTTGCCCCCTGGCCGCCCCAAATTACTCCGCCTATGGGGTAAAAACGACCAGGTTATAAATTTTTAATTTTGGTTCTCACAATATAGTTGTTTAGAGACAAATTGGATCTTTGTGCCCTGCCCTAACCCAAAGAGTATTGGTAGAGTAATGTAATTTCTGAAAAGAGAGACTATACGGATATACGCTTGACTTCGTCTTATCATTAATGTAAAAATAATGATCACAAGTAAGTGTCATTCAATCTCTTAGCAAAGAGTTTATCTATTCGATTCATATTATATACGTATAATATGAGTTTAATGTATAATAATTCATATTTACACTAATACTTAATCTTATTGGACACTGGAGATGTGGGGATGAGGTAAATTATAGTCCCGATGAAACATTTATAACTTTCAACATCATATCTTAAATTTAGTGCTTCGAATACCCTTATATATATATATTCATATAGTAGCGGTTCTTTAGTTCGGCACCTACCGAATGTGCGATAGCCCGGCATTTTTTTAAAAAATCGTTTTTTTTTTCAAAAATGTGCTTTTATGGCAAAGAAAAACGATCGAGGGCTTTTAGAACGTTTTCAGGGTGATTCGACATTACTCGGAAGGACTCGTTATTTTTCAATAATTGCTGTGTCCATGGTAAATTTCGTATTACTATGCACGTAATACGTAGCCTCTGCATCCTACGAAGGATTCGACTGTTTTTTTTTAAGTCAGACCACTGAATACAGCATGAATACACATATATTATATCATCAGATTTAACCACCTAAATGTTCGGTGACCATGTTTTCAAAACTTAGCCCTTGATATTCAAAAGGAGAAAAACGAAAATTCGTAACACCAACTTTCAATCAGAAACTAGAAATTGTCAAATGGCTAGAAGTTTTCAATTTTTTTTTATAAAAATTAAGAAAAAAAAGTTAAATATTTAAATATATATTCTAATAAATATAAAGTAAGCTTTGGTTTTTTTCTATTGATTTTGTTGTATTGATTGATTGCAGTTTGTTTTTATAATTATCGTCCGTAAGTCGCGAATTTTCAATAATAACGCCCAATCTTTAATATATATATATATATATATATATATATATATATATATATATATAATGAATAAAACAGCCAATTCGTCGAATGTAGAAAGTTTATTTTAATTTTTATACGTTTAGAAACTACATGTGTCTCATCATTCAGCTAAAAGAAATTTACATTATAAAGAAAAAGTTTTAAAAAATAAATGTATATATATATATATATATATATATTATATTATATATTATATTATATTATATTATATTAACTGAACCACAAACGGAAATTGAATAACCATCGAAAAGTTTTGTACAATTTATTATAGTTCTTGGGGTTTCAAACTTTCTTAAATAATATATGTGCATTACTGATTGCTTTTCAAATTATTGCTTCGATTACTTTCAACAGTAAAAGTGAGTGATATGTTAGTAACCAGCCGTGTCGTAGACGTAACTGTTAAGGATGTGGGCAAGCACAAACTAGTCCCGGGTTCGATTCCAACCACGGTTAAGCTAGATATCAAGCAGTATGATATCAAATTCCTACTTATGGGCATTGCTGCTTAACACACAATTTCAGTTTAGTAGACTTTGCTGCGTCGTACTATCAGCTATATATATCTAATATATAGTAGATAATAATAGCAAAGAAGAGATACTCACTGGATTGGCATCTCATAGAAAATGACAGATTAGGATGTAAACCGATATTTGTAGAGAACCCTTAGCATATAAGCACGAGTCAATTAGTTCCTGTATTTCATTAATTATATGGGGCAGCTAAGGGCTTATTGTATTTTTTTGTTTTTTAATTATTAAGTATTGAGATACACTTGTTATATTTCTACAAAATACTAGCTATAACTATTTCTTTATCGAATCAAGTTCTATAAATTTTAATTGTTTTACAATTAAAAATTTTCTAGAAAAATTGCGTTGTTTGGGGCCAGTTGTAACGGCTAAAAAACTGATAATTTATTCTTCTTTTTAAGAAAATTGACTTGATTCTAAGTAAACTATTAGTAATTAAAATATATAGTGTCTCTCGACTCCAATAATAGAAA